AGGGGGTGGGGATGAAGAATGACTTCACAGTGGAGCAACCTCATAAATACTACCTCACCCAGGTGATCCAGATCAACATCAATAGTGATAAACCATGTGGATAGTATACGCCCTGATATGATGTGATGAACATAAATAGCACTTTTTATCAATGGTCTTCCTCCAAGAAATCCCTCAGTCTAATCATGAGAAAAACATCAGACAAATTCCAACAGAGGGATATTCTACAAAATAGCTGACCAGTACTTCTCAAAACTGTCAAGGTCATCAAAAGCAAGGAAAGTCTGAGAAACTGTCATAGCCAAGAGGAGCCTAAGGAGACATGACAACCAAATGTATCCTAGATGGGATCTTGGAACAAAAAAAAGGACACTAGGTTAAAACTAGGGAAATACAAATAAAATACGAACTTTAGCTAATAATAACGTATTAATGCTGGTTTGCTAATTTTAACAAATGTACCACACTAATTTAAGATGTTAATTATAGGGGAGAATAGGTATGGAATCTATGGAAACTCTATAATATCTTCTCAATTCTTCTGTAAATCTGAAAGTCCTATAAAAAATCAAGTCCAGGGGAGCCTGGGTGGCTCAGTCAGTTGAGCAACTGCCTTTGGCTCATGTCATGATCAGGGGATCCGGGCTCATGTCATGATCAGGGGATCAGAGGTCCCAGGATTGAGCCCCTATCTGGCTCACTGCTCAGCGGGGAGTCAGCTTCTCCTTCTCCCTCTGTAGCTCCCCCTGCTTGTGCACTTGTGTATGCACGTGTTCCATCGAATAAATAAATATAATCTTTAAAAAATCGAGTCCATTAAAAAGTCATAAAATAGTGATTCTAGGAATGAAAGGCACAGTACTGGAAATATAGTGAGACTGTAATAGCACTATAGGATGACAAATAACAGCTACACTGTGGTAAACACAGCATAATGTAGAGAGGTACACCTGAGACTATGCTGTACACCTGAAACCCTGAAACTAACGTAATACTGTTGACTACAATAAAAAACAAATACGAATAAATAACACAAATTTTTAAATAAATAAACTGTGATCCACCAAGAAGAAAGCAGTGTGGGCCTCAATTTCCAAACTTATTTGTCCATGGAACCCTTTTTTGTGGAGCATCTCTCAGGGCTAGTATTCAGCAGAAAATACTTTGGGAAATGCTGATGCAGTATGAGAAACCTCTTTCTCTCATCAGCCCAGAAAATTGAATAACAATCTGGCTTGCCAAAAACTGCAGAGAGTTGATTCACATCCCAACTCAAGAGCTAAGTGAAGTTCAAATAACTCATGAAACTTTAATAGGAAAAAAAAAAATCAAAATTTTCCAGGCTCCAGTTCCAAAATATTTTCTTCTGACCTGTTTTACTGAATAAAAGGGGAAGGAAATACTAACTGGATTTTTTTTTTTTTTTTTTTTTTTACTAACTGGATTTTTTTAAAGGTTTTTTTTGATTGTAAAGGGCAAAGAACAACTTAATAAGGCACCACCTATGCCCAGGTCCTCCCTAGTGCTCCTAAAGAATGTTTTAGCCGCCTCCCCCATAGTACATAGCACTTTCTACCTTACATTACAACTACTTATGTTCAAGTCTTCTTTCAAGGACACTATTAATTTGACATAAACTTCCTAAGTTCTTGCTACATAAAGGTCAGTATGCTGGATGTAATAGGTATATAAAAATGTTTTAAAATTGTTTTGTTTCCAAGAGGCTTATAACAAAAGTCAAAAAGATGTACACAAAAATTGCTATAATAGAATGCAATTTGTGATAAGAACCATAAAATGACACTGTGCTACAAGAGTCCAAAAGAGAAAGAGATCCTTTTCAACAGGGGTGATAACTATCATAGAGGAGAGATGTCATCCGAGCTGGCCCTCAGAAAATAGATTTTTCATGATGCTCAGCAGGCAATAAGAGCTTTCTAGGACAAGAAAACAAAAATAAGTGTTAAAAGATGCAAGACGGAAAGGCAAAATGATTCATGTGGAAGAACATTATAGAATAGTTATAAGACAGCAGAGATTGATAAAGTGGAAAGGGAAGCTAGGGACAAACAGCAAAGATTCTTACATGTTTTGCTTTGGAGGAGGAACTTGTAAGGCATCGGTAGTCACTGAAAATTGGTGAGAAGGCAATGAGATACTTTATAAGGTTTCACCTGCTATATAAAGTTAATTGTGGTAAGAGTACATATGAAGATGGGGAGAGAGACAAGCTGAAAATCAGGAGGTGTAAGAAAAAGACAAGGATGTGAATTAATGTCTGAAACAAAGTTAGCACTCAATAAAAGGTAGTCGTCATCCTCCTCCTCATCACTGTGATCACCAAGGTAATGGCCTTGATAATAATAAGGAAGAGAAGGCTCTAAGACTATGGGAAGAAATAATTTATAGGACTCAATGACTACTTGGATATGGAAAACAGAGATGAAAGCTATTTCAAGTCTAAATTACTATACTAATGATGAATTAAGAGAAATAGGAAGGTCAGGAGGAGACGTTCATTTTAGGAATAACATAATAAACTCAGATTTAGACATGTTGAGTTTGACCTCACATCAGAAATGCACAGTAGATAGTTGATCTCTATGATCAATGGAGGTAAAAGGAATGTGGTAGCAAAGAAGAGGGAAGCTGTGGAGGCCTGAATAAGATGACCTGAATGTTCTTAATAAACTAAGTGGCAAATGTTAAAAACGAATGAGAGACGGGTAGAATTTAGGGGCTACCCAAGTGTGAAAAACTCTGGGAAACCCTAACTGGAAAGCAGATAATGTATGATAAATAACAACAAAAGGACGGACAGGCAGCAAAATGAATCCACTGAAAGATAAACAGATTTAGACTAAACTGATGGTAAACATAAAACTCATGTGATTTTCCTAATTCCACTGTTTGGGAGAAGAAAGTAGATGACAGAGGTAGCCTTACACTCAGGATTGGAATGGCAGACAGAACAGAAGTCTAGAGGGGCAAGAGATGATGAGGTACAGGGGAGCACAATGCTGGGATGGTAGTTAGGCCATCCAGACTAAGGAACTTTTGTGCAAAGAGGAGAGAACTGCCTAATAGAACAGGGAACTGCTAATAGAACAGGGAGCTGAAGAACTAGATGACTCAGGGAGAATAAAGGAAGGCAGGCAGACGCTAACTAGTAGAGGAGATATTTAGTGTGACCACAGTTAAAGAATCAATTATTTCAACAAATAGTGTCCCATAGGTTAAGCACTGTGCTAGATGCTGAGGATAAAAAACAGTCCCTGCTCTGAAAGAATGAACAATATAGTGCAGGGATTGACAAGCTTCCTGTAAAAAGGCAAACGATAAATATTTTAGACTTTGTGGGTCAAAAGGTGTCTATGCAACTACTAAATTCTGACATTGTAGTGCAAAAGCATCCACTGACAATGTGTAAATAAATGAGCAAGACTATTTTCCAGTAAAACATATCTTATTAATTCCTGATTTTCATGGGTCACAGATATTATTATGCTCTTGGCTTTTCAGCCAATTGCAAATGTAAAAAAAAATATTCTTAGCTTGCCAGCTGTACAAAAGCAGATGGCAGGGTAGATTTGGCCCACGGGCTGTAGTGTACCAACCCCTGAGTTAGCAGCTAAGTCTGAAAAGAAAAGAGAGGAGTAATACACACACACACACTCTTACCATTTGATGTGTTCTCAGCAACTAGCAGAGGCTTGAAGAATGGACCTGTTATTTACCTCTCTACCTCTTCTTTTCAGTCACGATAGGAAAATAACTTTAGTATTTTGCTTCCTACACCTAATATGCTAAAACCGATACTTTCTCTAAAACTTTTCGAAATTTCAAATCTCACCAAAAAAATAAAAAATTCAGACCCAACCTTTTTACTTCCATTTTTTTGAGTCTATATCTTTATAACAAAAGGTCAAACAATTTTTTCATACATGTATCATTTAGTAATTATGCTTTATGACATATCGATAATATTGTGATTGCTGGATCTGAAGGCACCACCCAAAGATCTGAAAATATTACAGATTTCCTGAAATATCTCCATGTTTTTTGTTCATATTGCTTCCTTTCATCATCTAATTTTGAAAGTTTTTTAAAATAAAGTTGAAAAATTAAAAGTTGCCTCCCATCCACTGCTAGGAATGTGATAAAGCAGCAGAATATTTCTTCGGAGCAGAATGAACCACTGTGATAACTGAAGCTGGGTGATGGGTTTATAGGAGTTCTTTGGGGTATATATGAAATTTTTCATGATAATCTCTGAGACTATAATTGAGAAAAGTCAACTCTGTGGTGCCCCATAAGCCCCTGGGCAGTGGCAGAGACCTCCTCAAGGGAGGCTTGCAGAGACCTTCTCGTAGGCAGGTGGGCCAGGCCACACCAATGTGAAGAACAGTCCAGAGATCAGGCGTATGTAACAGAATCTACTAAGTTCCCATTTTAATGATTCTTTATAGCTTTTCTACTGAAAAGCATTTTTTTAAAGTGAATTTTAGTTGTTTTAGGACATTTTAGAGAGTAGGTTCATTTGAGCTCTGTGATAGAATACAGTACGATATAGCAGCCTGCTGTGAGAACAAACGTCCTTCATATACAGTATCAGTATCACTGGCTTCAAAAGCCAATATTTTAAGGGAAGCCTGAGTCAGTTCATCCCCATCTCATTCTTTTAATATCACAGAGCATGAGGAATAAATGGTCACATAATACTTTTATCACATTTAAAGTTTCAGGCCAGTATGGTACATGATTTATCCCTCCTTCTACTCACTGTTTTCAGGATTACTGTAGTTAAGTAGGTGTGCTCCTTGGTTATTACTGAGAGTAAAAAGGGAGAGCATGCAAATACTATTTACATCGCTGGAGTGGTTCTTACCCAGACTTCCATATAATGTATAACATATGCTCCTGATACCAATAAGGTGCTCTCATTCTGCATTATAGAACTTGGCGTGGAAAACTAAAATAAAAAATGAACAATAGCCAACCTGTGCTTTCCTCATGTATACCAAAGGTTCTTTCAGATGTTCAGGAGGTGCAGCAGGATGACTAGGTAAAGGAAACCTACGGACAGAAAGAGGCAGCTAAATATTGTACATTATCTTGATAAATAATTAATTCTCTTTGTTAGAAATCACTTACCTCTGTGGTCCATGTTATAAACGAAATAAAATATCTGTCAGCAATTCTGAGTGTTTACAGAAGGTACCACAACATAATAAAGCTCTAATAAATCTTATCCTACTAGTATTACAGTTTTAGATTAGCAATTTAATTACCTGTTAAAAGTTGAATTGCACAATAATTTGAATCTATACTTTGAGGTAATTTTAAAATTACTTATAGTTTTGTAAATGCTCATGTAAAAATTGTCAGAACTGTTATAGTTAGGATATAAATACTGTAACATTTAGAGGAATTTTTTAAGGTTGAAAAAAATTCATGAATATGTTAACATATCAACTCTTCATTCCTCTCAATTTCCTTTTCCATATGATTATGTATTTTTTACATGATTGGATATAAATACTATCTTTCATAAGAACCATGTTTTAATATATAATACATGAATTTGATAAAATTTTAAAATGTTAATGTCTTATGTATTCTTTCTGTTTTCTAAGTAACTTTACACTCATATTCAAAATGTATTATTTTTATTAAGAAAACACTTATTTATTCAACAAATATTTGAGCCATTCTAGGTGCTAAGTGTATGGTGGTAATTGAGACAACATCCCCTGTTCTCATATACATAACATTCTAGGGAAGAAAGACAGTCAATAACTACAGAAAGAAAGAAATTTATAGAACAATATCAGATAGTAATGTGTGCCATGAGGAGATGAGAGCAGGGTAATGAGATAGAAATGATTTGGAAGGGGAGGGAAGGTGTCTAGGGGAGCTAATACTTGAACCAGGACGTAAGTGATCTTTATACAAAGATCTAGGGGAAGAATATTTCAGGCAGAGAGGCAGCAAGCACAAGACCCTTACTGAGGTAAGAACATATGGAATGTTTAAAAATCAGAAAAGGCCAGAATGGCTGGAATATAATGAATGAGACACACAGTAATGTGAAATCACAGAAAGCACAATAAGAAAACGTAACAATTCAACATTTACTTAGTGATTCCAGTTTCATTCACAACAACATGTAACTCCTACTGGAATTATTCATAACACTTGTACCTACAGCAAAGCAGTCATGTTCCATTACTCAAGAACCATACACTGAATTTTCAAGAAATACCTTATCCCAAGGGGGACACCAACATGTAAAGTGTTTATGATATATCAAGCTTATTTATACTTATCCCAGGACCTAAGAGTAAAATGCTGAAATGTCCAAGGAAACATTTCTGGAATAGAAAAAGCAACCTGTTCTATCCAATCTCTAAAGCAGTTTCAGCAAATGATCATTCTTAGCTAATTGTTCTTTCCACTGAAATCTGTACTTCATGTACCCAAATAAATCATCATTCCCCATTCACAAACGAAAAAAAATTATCTATCTATATATCTCAATATTTCTTCATGTATACAGATAGTTTAAAAACCATATATTACATACTGTTCATCATTCATAAGGGACACGTAGTTTAGAATTAAATATTGTTTTAAAACCCTTTCATTTTAATGATAATTACTTCTAAATTTAATAAAACTTAGAAATTTAGGATTGAAACTTGAGAGCACTTACTGATAATCTTAAGTTACTTAATGCACAAAGAAGTTTATCCGTAAACAGGTAAAAGAGGTGGCAACCCCAAAATCATTAATGTCAAGCCAAAATCAAGTTAGATTTTTATTCACTCAGAAATATTTAGTAAGAATCTACTAAGCATTTAAGGTACTAGAAATAAATCTGTAAACAAAACAGGCTCAAATTCTGTTCTTATAGTGCTCCCATATTTACAGGAGGAGATGAAGTTTGCCAGATAGGAACAAAGCACAGAAACCTGTGCGGCACTCTTGACTCCTGCCTCCTCCTGTCCCAGAGTCCCCTGAAATACTTCTCATCTTTTCCAACCCACTGCCACCATTTTAGACAACCCACATCTCTTTTCTGTGTTCATCTGACAGGTTCCTAAGCAGTCTCCCCTCCTTCCACACTATGTTCAACCTATTTGTCAATTTGCCTGGCTGTTTAGCCAGGGGTAATGTCTTCCTTATCACCAGTGATGGTATTTCCAGTGTTTAGCATAATTTGTGGCACAAAATGGATAACCAGTACACTGCTGAGTGAGTATAAAACGCAAATATGATCATGTCACTACTATGCTTAAAATTCTAAAATGATACCCAAATGTTTTTAGGATCCAGTCTAAAAAGCTTTGAGGGACACCTGGGTAGCTCCATTGGTTAAGCAGCCGGCTCTTGGTTTCAGCACAGGTCATGATCTCAGGGTCATGAGATGGGGCCTCACATCGGGCTCTGCACTCGGCATGGAGTCTGCATGAAAGATTCTCTCCTGCCCAGCCACCCACGCATGTGCTCACATGTTCTCTCTCTCGAATCAATCAATCAATCAATCAATTGTTAAGTAAGTAAGTAAACAAAATAAATATCAAGTCTTGAGGAAGAAGTAAGGCATCCCTTCGGCCTAAGGCATTCTTCTCTACTCCTTCCTCTGACTAACTCTCTATCTTAGCTTTTTTATCTCAATCTGAATATTGTGTCCTTTGGTAAGCCATCATGACATCCCCAACCTGGATCAAGTGCCTGCTCTATGTGTTCCTTGTACTATCCCATCATAGCACTTATGTTGTACTATAATTGCCGCCTTAAACTATGTGTGCCCCACTGAGATGTAAGCTCCATGAAAGCAAAAACTATCCAGCTTGTTCATTATCCTCAATTTCTAGCTCAGTACATAATGCATAGCAAGTATATTTAAAGAAACATTCAAAAGGCAGTAAAGAAGAACTATGTGATTAGCACATTTTGGAAGTACTCTGGTCTACTGCCTGAGTACTCTTCCAGCAAATGCCATGAATGTCTATCAAGACGTAACCACGTCCTGTGATCTAGTGTATGGTACCCATGATTAAAACCTTTCTGTTTTTGGTCCACTACTGTTCAACATTCACACCTCTCCAAAGTGTGGCAAACATCTGCATATATCACCTATAACAGTAGACTATGGTGTATGTTTTTATAATATATACTTATATAGAAAGACTTTTAAAAGGTTTGTTTACTTCTTTAATTGATATTCCTTAAAGGAAAATTATAGGTAACCTAATTCTTTATCAACTGTGCTACACAAAGTACAATGAAAACTAAGACCAAAAAAATAAAGTGCATATTCCATGTAAAGACTATCTTAATTAAGTTTTTTAGTAAGTTTAGGATTAATAACTCCTGGGTATCATCAATTCAACAAATATTGTGTGTTAGCATTGGTTGGTGGCCCAATACCTTCGTACCTGCTGACTCAATACCATTTATTTGGTGTTATAGAAGGTACTAAAAGAAATGTAAAATATACTTGTTTCGTGACACTTTTAAAACATGTTTTTTTTTCTTTTCTTTTTAAATTAATTTATTTATTTATGATAGTCACAGCGAGAGAGAGAGAGGCAGAGACACAGGCAGAGGGAGAAGCAGGCTCCATGCATCGGGAGCCCGACGTGGGATTCGATCCCGGGTCGCCAGGATCGTGCCCTGGGCCAAAGGCAGGCGCCAAACCGCTGCGCCACCCAGGGATCCCCGTGACACTTTTAATACAAGTGAGACATAAGATGTACACATATGTGAGATGTAGTAAAACACATGTGTTTTGGATTCAAACAGCTGGAGGTCAAGACCCAGTGCTATCATTTACTAGCCATATGATCTTCAGGACATTATTTAAGTAGTTTCAGCCTCAGTTTTCTCTTATGTAAAACAGTTATAGTAATAAATTCCACAATTATAGGGTTGTTGTGAAGATTATAATGTATAAGACAATTCATTTAAAGTGCTTTTAGCACAGTGCTTGCGTAAAACTCTCATTTAATTGCCTATTAAATATTAACACAATAATTAAATAAGGTCGATCCCATGACCCCAAGATCATGACCTGAGACAAAACCAGGAGTGGGTCTCTTAACAGACTAAGCCACCCAGGCACCCCAAATAAGTAGTCAGTCTTAAGTTGGAAGAACTAACCCAGGCTACAATTTAAGTTTTGGGTAAATGACACAACACAAAAATTTTTCTCTTTTAAATAAGAATCAGAAAACAATCTTTGGCATGTTTACTAAAATGAAGTATAGCTCATGTGTCTACACCTTTATTAGGAAAGAGCATTGTTTTTTTTTCCACTCTAATTCTTTAACGTGAATTCTTCTACTTTACTCTTTGCTTTCTTTACTTGTCCATCTAATGGTTTCTGTCAATGGAAAATGCAACACAATATACTAAATTCACTGTATTCTTCTGATTTATGTTAGGGGAAACACTTCTTCTCCAAGCTGGATGTGTCTTTCCCTGTGGAAAGAGCTCCATTACTGTGACACTCTTGGCCTCTCTCCAGGGCTTTACTTGTTACACCATTTTTAAATTTTGGAATAATAAACCAAACATGCTCACCAATGCTATTTAACTGGAAGTTTAAATCTATTTAATTCTGGAGTTCAGTTAAAGGATTTATTTTGCTCTTGCACTAAGCTATGTCCTCTTATCTAGTCTTTATCAGTAATAAACGTAAGTTTTGATCTCTCATTTGCCTTTATATTTTATCTTATTTCTCAATTTCTTCAGAACCCAAGTGAGTAAAAAAGGTGATACTACTTGCTCCTTCAAAAATCCCAACAAGTTATTCAAGAATATTTATTTAATATTGTTAGGATACTAAAAGTAAGACAATGAATGAAAAACACTATACCTGCAAAAAAAAAAAAAAAAAAAAAAAACACTATCCCTGCCATCAAGTAAAAAGGCACTCGGTATTCACTAATAGAACAAATTTCAGAAATGGACTGGACTACAAAAATAGCAATCATCAGTAATATCTCCTCTGGATGAGGATGATGAACAGTGGATGAGAATCCACTATTTGTATTTACACACAACCAGGTACTTTTATTACACCAGTATTGGACAGAAAAACACACAAAGTTACAAGCTTTCTGGGTAATAGAAAAGAGATAAATCATCATGTTCATAAGTAACCTGTGGCATCTCTATGCATATTGTACATTTAAAACCTTACTTATCATGATAAACATCTATTCCTTGGTGACTAGGACCAGGGGTATGGTCATAGTCAACTTCAATTAAAAGCACTTAAATATGATCTTATTTAAGAATGTAAACCAACCAGGAAAATGATGACAAGCAAGGAAGCAAATACTAATTTTTAAAATGTGTGTCCAACCACAGGTTCACAGGCCTTCATCTGAGTCTCTTTATTTTAGAAACAGTTATGATAAACTAGATTATCTTGTTTCCTAATTAACAGCAGATTAGAAGGGACAAGTTAGAAACAGAAGTATGAGCATCTAGAGAATGTGAAAGACACAGGCACACTGATAGCAGTAAAAAAAAAACAAAAAAAAACAAAAAAAAAACACAAAACATAAGAACTCCATTAGACTATAAACTCCATGAGGGTAGGAGTTGATTCCTTGTTCTATATTATATTCCCAGTGCCTAGCACATGGTAGGTGTTCAGTAAATAACTGATGAATAATGGAAGACTGAATAAACTATAAACGCTAACACTCCTTATTCTGTGTAACAACAAATAGTTTTATACACCTCAACAGACTCTGTGGGCAAGTCCAGATTAACAAAAATATTGATTTTCTTAATAATGACACCAATTTTGCAAAAAAATTTAAAAAGTTAATTATATTTAGAACAGTTGCTTTATAAAGACAGAAAAAGGGTTAATATCCAAAATGGCAAGAAAAAGAACATTGATAAGCTTCAGTTTTCTGAAATATTAACTTATTTTCCTAACTACACTGGATACATGAATTGTTAACATAAAAATTTCAGTGGTAAAAAAAACCTTACCTATTTATTATTCATTCTCAGGCAAGATTGAAATTTTTCAATGTATTAATTTAAATGAAATGTTATATAAATACTAATGAAAAATGTAATATAATGAGTGTACACAGCAATACTATATTCATTACTTACAAAGTAAATACAGCTAAACATAATGGTATCTCAAAATAGGTAGAAAAAACTCACACACTCAGTTCACTATAAACAGCATTCTGAAGTTTCTTCTCCCAACCTATTTTTTAAAAAAGAGTAAAATACATGAACATATTAGTTTTAAAAATAAGCATACATTATAATTAAATTTATCTTACTAAAACTCTAACAGCATATTTATTTGTGAAAGAACTTCTTCAAATGCCAATTGCTGTGTAAGTGTTATTAAGGAATGAAGTATTTCCTACATGTTCACAGTGTCTGTTGGCAAACACTAAGTAGCAAAATTATCAATATGACACTATTTTTTAAGTAAAACCATTGCACCATTTTCTCATGGTTGGAGGAACATTTCCTTCTTCCACTGCTAAGGTGCTCAATAAATGCCAAAATAGTGCTGTCTACTGTACTACTAGTGCTATGAGGAATGTGCCAAGGGAAGGGCAAGAAACATCCAGGCACCTGACAGACAGATCATAACCAATTAGTTAAACTAACTAGTCAGCAAACTCCTGAACAACAGAAACATTATCATGAGGTACCATCAGACCAGTTAGCTTGGCCACTAACTACTTGAACTTAACCACTTAACATCTCAAGTAAGTCAATTTCCGAGTGCAAAGGTTAGAAAATACAGAACCTCTTTTCTTGCTCTAAAAGAAATTAAGGTTTTCTTTTCTTTTCTTTGAAAGGATAAAAAAGAGGAGGGGGAAAAAGTGTAGAAGGAAAAGAAGCCATAAATGAAAGCAAAAGAGGAGGTGCTTGGCGAGGGAGATTCTTCATACATTCAGGATGTATTTTGATCAGAAAGTAAACTACATTCAAAACTGATTAGTTTAATGCAGTGATTCCCAGCGTTCCTGAAGTTTTGCAGTATTTTATTGAAATATCTGAAAGTTCTAATTCTCCTCAAAGAGAAAACTACCCAGCCACTGCTTCACAATTTTGAATGAGTAACCGAAGTCTGAAGATAAAATATTCCTTCCAAATGAAGTATTTCCTTATTTTCCATTAAAGAATTAGGAGAGAAAAAAGCAACTTACAAACCTGATATTTTAAAGAATTCCTTAATATCTTCTTTTAGTGATTCAAGTTTAATTTCAGGTCTCTGAAGACTGGCCTAATTTTAGAAAGAAGAAGAAAAAGAAGAAAGGAAAAGACAGAGGTCAAAAGTAAGTCATTTGGGTTGATATTAAATATGAATGAAAAGTTTTAAAAGAGGTGTCCAAATGTGCATACTATTTTAAAAATCCCATTCTGAAGTCCGAGCACCTTTGGATAATAGAATTATCTAGAATAGCTCATAATAGAGAAGACTTTTTTACCTACTCTTAAAATACAGGATCTGTGATGGTATACCGTAGTCTACTCAAAATATAAAAACTTGCAGCTTATAAACACTTAACATTTTTATCTAGGACTTTTATCTTTGTGAATATCTATTTTTCTAGCAGGAAAAATACTTAGCTTTTATTAATTCATTTCCTTAATATTATATCAAACATATACTGTGGCATTTACACCTAATGGCTTAAAAACCCAGTTGCATCCCTTACAAATGGATCTTTGAATAGCATCTTCTTTGGATTACTGCTCAATGCAAACCTTTATTTGTTGTGCAGATTTATGGAAAACACATAAAACTACTAGTTCACAAATACTTATTAGTGTCTCCTTCATCTTCAAGTGCATGTTTTCTATTGGATTTTCACACTGTAATTTTTACCAAAAGTAATAATTTCCCCAATTTATAATGGCTTTGATTATTTTCAAAGTGTTGATCGCTTATCATCTAGTTCTTTATATCAAATTCTAAAAGTATTCCTTAAGAAGGCATTACTATTAGGGTAACTAATGATAAGTATTTCAAATCTAAGAAATCAAAAGATCTTAACTTCCACTCACTACTTCTTTCCTTCTCATCTATTTTTTAATCCTAATCAATGAAATTACCATGCACCAGATATTCTAAATCAGAAAATTTAGTTATTCTTAATTCTACTCTAACCCCTCAAAGATTCAACCCCTTTCTGGGAAGATGGCATTGGAGGCAGTGAGTTATTTTTTGGTTTGGGTGCTTTTTTTGTTTTGTTTTTTAATCTCTCTGATTTCCACATAAAAACAGTCCGAACAACTGAATAGGAAAACCAAAATCCCATGGAAAACATTTACAACAAAACTTAGTGAAAAGATATCCCCACAATAGTTGGGGACAAACAACCATAAGACCTGTATGGTATTAGCATTTTTGCAGGAAAAAGCCAAAGGAAGTAGTAGGGTACGTGATGGATGTGAAACAGGAGAACCCCCAAAATAGCCAACACTGTTTTCACTGGAACATATGAAGAGCCAATTTTAGAACAGGAGCGAAAACTGGGAGGGGTTTTGCCTAATTAAATATAGCAGATGAGGTCTGAAGAGACTGTGGCAGCCCAGCATCTGTGAATTCTTGACACTGACCAACCGGCATCCCCTTTCCAGATACGACCATTCTGAAGAGAAAATACTGATAGAGTAATAAATATTGAGGATGACTGGGAACTAATGTATTATCTTGAAAAGCCAGTAAGTAAAGGAAAAGGCATGTCTTGCCCTTCCTAAATAAACTGCACATCACAGGGTAACTAAATAATAAATAAAAGGAAATACCTCTTGATAAAAGTATTCCAGCTAGTAACTAAAACAGATGGGATATAAATAGAATATCACCATTTTGCAACCCCTAATAAATGACTAATTCTAGGCATTGAGCAGAAAGAGCTGTTAACATTGCAAAAGACAATTAGATATTATGTACTTCTCAATGAAAGAACACTCCCTTGCCAATAGTTATGAGCAGAGGGATGACACCACAGTCTCATCGAGCCCTTGGTCCTGCTGTCCATTTACAAGTCCTACAAAGGCTAAAGGAACATGTTAAGTTGCACCATGAGGGTGCATTCAGAAAAAGGATATGAGAAATTCTAAAGATCAAATGGCTCTGTTCTTTAGCTCACAAGGTGTGAGGAAAACAAAGGAAAGGAGAGAAAACCTGTAGATTTAAAAAGACAGATCAAAAAAACTTTTTTAGGGCAGCCCAGGTGGCTCAGCGGTTTAGCGCAGCCTTCAGCCCAGGGCATGATCCTGGAGACGCGGGATCGAGGCCCACATCAGGCTCCCTGCATGGAGCCTGCTTCTCCCTCTGCCTGTGTCTGTGCCTCTCTCTCTGTGTGTGTGTCTCATGAATAAATAAATAAAATCTTTTAAAAAAAAAAAAACTTTTTTAGGGGCACCTGGGTGGCTCAGTCGGTTAAGCTCCAACTCTTGGTTTGGCTCAGGTCATGATCTCAGGGTTGTGGGATGACCCCTGTTAGGCTCCGCACTCAGCCAGAGTCTGCTGGAGTGTCTTTCACCTTACTTTCTCTCTTCTTTGCTCCTCCCCAACTCATACGTGTTCTGTCTCTCTCTTTCTCTCAAGTTAATAAATTAAATATTTTTAAAAATTATTTTTAAATTTAAAAACTTTTTTAATTGGCAAGACCAAGTTAGGGTGTTTTTGTGTGAGGGATATATATTTGCTTAATAGAAGTATCAAGAAATGCAAGAAAACGATTACCATAATAAAAACCAGGTTGTTTGGGAGGGAGGAGTTTGTGATTGGACTGGGGCAAATGGAAGGGTTTCTGGTGTGGCTGGCAAAGTTTCATTTTTTTATAGGGTGGTTGTTATATGGTCGTTCATCTTATCATTCATTACATGGCAAGTTTGTTTTATACAGTTTCTGTGTTTTATTTTACAATAAAAAGCATCAAAAAAGAAAAATATGCCAATTTATTCCTTCTCTCCATTCTAAAGTCCCACACTTGAGCCTAAGTCCTCATCATTTCTCATTTGGATCACTGTAATAGCTTCCAAACTGTACATCTTACCACTCCATCTAAATTGCGATTGTTCCCCACCTGGCATTTTCACACTCCCTTATTTTACTGTTTCTTCTTTCTTAGCATTTATTACCTTCTAATATACCATATGATTCATGTATTTACTATGTTTATTGGTACACTGTCTATAATCCTACACTAGAAGTAATAAGCTCCACTAAAACAAGGATCTTTGCTTTTTTGTTCACTGTTATATCCTAAATGCTTAGAATGGTTACTTTCACATAATAGGTGACCAATAAATGTTTACTGAATAAATGAACTAATTTCTCTCCTCTTTATCAATCCATTCTCCAGCATTTTCTTCCTAAAACAGAAGGCCTTCCTGACTGCAAATCTCCACAGCATAAAATAAGGAATCTAAACTTTTCAACAGAGCACACTTGGCTCTTCACAATGTAGACCAACTTAACTCTCCAAATTCATCAGCTGCTCTTCCACCAAGCTAACAACATCCTCTCCTCTCTCACACCTTCTCTCCCCAATACACCCTACTCTTTCTCTAGTCACTGTGAACCACATTCACTGATCCCCCAACTGTTAAGTAAAGAGTTTCAGGCTTTTGTTCATGTTGTCTCTCAGATGCAAGTGCTCCCTCACCATCTTGGCAGATACCTACTAACTTCCAAGACATCCCTCAAATACCACCTCCTTTCTTAGTTCGCCCCTACCACTTGCCTACAAAGACAGTACACTCCGTTCCTGTTACAGCACTCATCAGATTATATTGTAATTTTCAGCTCACCTATTTTTCTTCTGGACTCTTAAATTCAAAGGCAAGGACCATAACTTCATTTTTGCATCTCTAGTATTAACTTAGTACTAATTGTAGCTTGAAAAAATTATATCAGTCACATCATGTTCTATCCTTTTTATACAATTCTCACCCAAGTAAGCAAGGAACTTTATAGAAGTTATTGCTAACTAAAGAAACTGGTTTCTAGTCTCTTATTCCTAGGATTTTAAAAGCTGCAAAACTTTGCTCATTATTCAAAAGTACCAAAGCAAAAGGAAATAGGTTTTCCTTTACTAAGCCTATATTTGGAAATGACTCTGAGGTAGCATAATTAAAGGAATTTCAAGGGAAAAAACTGGCTATTCCTTCTAAATATGTACAATATTTTAAAGTTGCTAGACTTCCTAGATACATTTTTTAATCAAAGGCAAATCAAATTCCTAATCATCAACATAATTATAAAAATCTTGAGAAATTTGGGGCTCCTGGGTGCTTTGGCTGAGTGAGCATCTGACTCTTGATTTCGGCTCAGGGCATGATCTCAGGGCCATGGGACTGAGCCCAATGCCAGGCTCCGCACTGAGCATGGAGTCTGCTTGAGAGTCTCTCTCCCCCTCTCCCTTTGCCTCTCCCCATACCATTCATACTCTCTCTCAAAAAAAAAAAAAAATTCTTGAGAAACTTAAAAAGCAAAAGCAGGCCAGTGACAGGAGAGTAACATGGTAAGACAGTTCTTGAATATGTTTTAGTAGCATAATCCCTTTTTAAAATGAAACCCAATTTAAAACCCTAGTATATAAAACACATTGAAAGTGGTATTAGTAGACAGTAAAAATGAGTGTTCTCTCATTGACTAAAGTATAATTACTTACATTAGAAGTATATAGCTTTATTATGATATAACTTCAATATCCAATTTGTTTTTGTATTTTGTTTCGGTTGTTCAACATAAAGAAAAAGTCTTGATTCACAGAGATAAGTGTTTGTACTTTTAATAGCTTCCTGGCAATTTCAGCACACTCCCAAATTAAACTGCTGCGGGAAATCGAAAGCGGAGACTGGGAGAATTGGTTTTTTTTAAAACAAATTACTGAAGAGACACTTGGCTGGCTCGGTCGGTTAAGCGTCCAACTCTTGATTCCAGCTCATTCCATGATTTCAGGGTCACAGGATGGATCCCTATGTCTGGCCCCACTCTCAGCTTGAGATTCTCTCCCTTTCCCTCTGCGCTTCCTCCCACTGGCTCTCTCTTTAAATAAATAAAATCTGGGGATCCCTGGGTGGCTCAGCGGTTTAGCGCCTGCCTTTGGCCCAGGGCGTGATCCTGGAGTCTCCAGATTGAGTCCCACGTCGGGCTCCCTGCATGGAGCCTGCTTCTCCCTCTGCCTGTGTCTCTGCCTCTCTCTCTCTCTGTCTCTCATGAATAAATAAAAAAATCTTTAAAAAAATAAATAAAATCTTTTT